GGGGGAAAACAGAACCAGATGAGACTGTTTAGAGAATGACTTAGCCTTCCTCCATTCTCCCACAGCAGGAAACCCAAGACAAATGTAATGAAACTATTGTAAGCTACGGTAGGATAGGAGAGCCGCGGCCTGTCATAGCAAAGCAATCACCCACAGGACAGAGAATGTACCAATCCCATTAACCAAGCCCCATTCAATCCCTATCCGTTTTACAAGCCTTCCACTGTAATTGAGTTTCTTCTGGTTGAAGGTCCTCTCAAAGGTTATGCCAGCTAATCGTGCACAAAACTGACCATCCGTATAAAACATGCTCATGCAAGCATGAACTTATAAAAGACAACTGCACAGGGACGATCATGGTTGGGTTATACCTGATCATTTAGCAGTGAATAAATACTAAAAGCACAAGAAAAAGAAGTCTCTTTATCTTTGTCGCTCTTTGGGAGGCTCAGCAGAAACAATCACAATGACTAAATGTTTACAGTGTAACTCATTACTTGGAGAACCCCCATTTAAAGATAAAGGATGCGCTGAAGATTACATTACAAAACAGTTTTATTATTTACACTTTGTGATGAACCCTCCTTGAAAGATTTGTGTAAAGGTTAGATAGGTTAGACAGATAAAATCACAAGCCTTCAGTGATGCAATCGTATGTACCTATTGACGGGTGGAGTGGTGTAGTGGTTCTCCCTCTGAAATAAATAGGGTAACAGACATCATAACAGATAAATTCTGTTCCTTCTAACAGCGGATAATCAAAGTTTGTTAGCACTCTCCCTTTCCCTCTCTCAATTCTTCTTCCTTTCCAGGCTGTGACACTGGGCTGCTCTTCCCCACACGTTCATCTACAGCTCATGTTGAAGTCTCACCCAAAACACCCTTTAAAACCAATGCCGTCACCATTTGCCTGTGGGTGAAACCAACTCAGGTGCTCAACAAGACCATCCTCTTCTCGTACAGTACAACTGGCAATGCCTACGAACTCCAGCTGGTGTTGAATGGACAGAGTGTCTTCTTTACCGTCGATGGTGAAACCCATTTGGTGCAAGCTTCAGGGGCAGCTCGAGAGGGTCAGTGGGTGCACATTTGTGCAGTCTGGAGTTCACAGCAGGGCTTGGCTTCACTGTGGGTGAATGGTCAACAAGCTGCAAGCTCTCCTGGAGTGGCTGAAGGTCATGAGTTACGCAGCAAAGGAAGCATACTATTGGGGCAAGAGTATGGACGTTTATTCAGGCATCTTAGTATCCCCGACACATTTGATGCGGAGCTGGCCTTCACAGGGAAGATGACTGGAGTGAACATGTGGGACCGCGTTTTGGATTCAAAAGAGATATCTCAGCAAGCGCGGCTGGATGGGAGTGGTTGTGGTATCCGTGGTAATGTGGTGGCATGGGGCGTTTCTGACATTGAGCCAAAAGGGGGTGTCAAATTATTATACTAAATTTATCTACTGTCTTAACCACCTGAGCCCTGTATACAAATCAGCTGAGCTCCTACAAGCACATATTAAGAACCTGCTTTGCTACACCTACACAAAACAATCATTTTCCTCTCCTTAAATGTGCAAAAAATGTGCTCCCTCATAGGGAAAATGTGATTTAGCAAGTTACAATAGTTAAACTGCTGCCATTGGAGGGACATTATATCATATATCTTTTTTTTATTATTACAAACTGTTCTGTTTTACAAGAATGTTTAATACAAAACGGAGGGATTTAAAAAAAAAAATTATTATGTATCGTCAAACTATTTATCTTGATTGGTAATGTTTACATTCAGATTTTACTTAATTTTTAATCTATTTGTAATGTAATACTTCAGTCCATTGTTATTTTTATGCTTTTTTTTTTTCAAACTATAGGCTCTGTTACATATCTTGTGATGGCCATTTTAAAATATTTTGTTATAGAGTTCTGTATGTTATAGAGTATGTGAGTTCTGCTAATTAATAACTTTTTTGTCTTTGGTTTGTATTTTTACCACAAGATGGATGCTATGTTTTGATGACAGAACTGTGGAAAATTTTTACAAATTGTGACTTTATTTTTATGTTTCCGCTGATGTGATTA